CCACCATCATCACCGTCCATCACCATCGTCGTCCACCACCACCGCCACCATCCACTGCCACCACCACCAATGTCCACCACCGCCGTCGTCAACGTCCACCACCACCCTTCACCACCACCCTCCACCACCACCATAATCGTCCATACACCACCACCGTATACTATCATCATTAATTTATATAGCAGTCTACAGACATTAAAAAACAAACAGTCTTCTACTTGCAGACCGCAGACCTTCGGTCCACCACTTCTTCTGCAGATGTCTACAGTAGTGGTCCGCAGACTGCAGACCTTTTCCTGCAGAAAAAATAAACACCCCCTTAGTCTTTTTGAAAAAGAAGAAAATGAGTCTACTTCTCGCTCCCTTGCTTCTCTTCTAGAGTTTGGTGTGAACGTAACAACGGGATATAAAGATAAGTTGGTTGAACGATATTTTTCATCTCCCAATTTTGATTGCAACCTTTCTCTCATCTCTTGATATTTTTTGTATATTTATATGTTTTTATTCATTATTTGATAAAAGAAAATATTTGTACGACCACTTATTTTGTAGAAATTTTAATAAATTTTTTTAATATATACTCCGTAATTTTTTCATTGATATAAAAATATGTAAATAAAATAATTTTGGAAGACAGGTAAATTCTAATTTGTAATTAAATTTAAGATGAAGGGAAGATAAAAAGTTGGACTTTATTGCACCATGACCCCTTGTGGTTTGGTAAATGTACACCGTTACCCCATTATAGTTTCAAAACTTACATCGTTGAACCTCATGATTCTGATATTGCTACGTCAATACTCCTCTAGACTAAAATATCCTTCAAATATTATGTGTAACGCCCCAAAATGTACACTAAAATTTACTGAATTAAATATTCAATTAAACAAAATTTGTTTTGATTAAAATAAATTATGATTGGGCTTTGGGCCGATGTAAAATATGTTTTGATATCCAATGTCAAAATCTGAATAAGTTTCATAGAGATAAATACAACATGTTGATTTATTATGTGATCTCGATTGGGAATTTGCGTATAGACCTAAATTAAGAATAAATAAAGAAATTGTTGTGATATGAACTTTGAAATAAATTCTTGAAATAAACCATGAGAATAAATTAATTGTGAGAACCTTGTATAATAAAAGTCAATTAAATCAATTTTGACTCTATCAAGGTCAAGCACCCAAAAATATGATATCGGAAAAAGTGTTACAAATAAATAAAAAAGTATACCATTGGATAGCGTTTAACTGTCCGATCGCAACGGTGCAAACGAAATTCAATTCGGAGAAAGTTGGACCAAAAAGTGTACCCCGACTGGAACCAAATTGGTCCCAATCAGGGAACTGCGTGTAGATCAATTAGAATCACCATCTTGCACACTAAGGAATTTCTACGTAGAAATGAGTCAGCTACCAATGTCTTCTTCCCCTTTTCTTCTCCTATATAAGGATATCCAATCCTTACCAATTCTTCATCAATTTCCTCAAAATATATACCATTGTGTTCATAAGAGTAAGGAGAGCAGTCTGAGGTTGTTGGTTGCCGCCGAAGTCGCCGAAATTGGGAGTAATCGTCGCCAGAAGTTTCGCCGGAAAATTCTAAAAACCTTCTATAAGCTTTGAGGTAAGCCCGTAGATATATCTAGTGACTAGAATGTTCATATAGATCGTTTCTACGTTCATAAACGGTCGTTTGGTTGAGTTTTGTGTTTGACAAGCTTGTAGAACCAAGAATCATAAACCATGAAATTGATGTTAGAACTATGAATTAATGATTCCAAAATGATCTATGAACCTTGGAGAACATCTCTATATAGTTTCGTTGAAGTTCGATAACTAAAAACGGTATTTCTGAAATTGGACCCGAACGAAGAAGAAGATGAACAGTGGCTGAAACACCACTGTCTGGATCGATCCAGGGGCTTGGATCGATCCCCTGGGAGTGATGTTTCAAAGTATGGATCGATCTAGAGGGCTGGATCGATCCCCCGAAGTTCTAATCCGAAAATTTGCCCGAAATTGCTATTTTTGAGCTCTAAAATCCTATTTTTGATACCAATTGATTTTAATTATTTTAAGGATGATTCTTTACAATAAAAATGATTTTTTTAACAAATAAAAATGTTATGTGATGCATGACGGTAAGTTCGGGTGTTAACACTCGAAACTAGACCGCTATTTGTTATCAATTGATATGTTGATTGATGATTATGATGAATGATTATTATGGATGATGATGAATGATGAACTTACTGATTAAAATTATTATTTATGATTGAACCATGAGTAAAATGAATATATTGATAATTATTAAACGATTTGTATTGTTAACGGTATCTAGAAGAACTTTAAGATATACCATTAGTTAATTGATGTTAAGGCTATCTAGAAGACCTCTAGAATAGATCTTGTATTAGAATAGACTTATGAAAACATGAATATTTGATGAATTAGATAAAAATGTATGAACGGGATTCGTAGACCAAACTAGAGGATTACTCGTTTGGGAATGTCCGATCCAATGTTGATCAATCGCTATATTGTTGTTGCCTTAACCGACTACGGTTAAGTGCCCGAATCATTTGCCTTAAACTAGTGAAAGTTTAAGTGTCTGATTGCCTTAACTGACTACAGTTAAGTGTCCAAAATCAATTGTCTTAAACTAATGATAGTTTAAGTGTCTGATCAATAATTGCCTTAAAAGAATCTGGTTATGGAAATTATGATTTGGCCTTAGACTAAGAATAGCTAAGAGCATTATTATGATCTGGCCTTAGACTAAGAATAGCTAAGAGCGTTGTTATGATATGCCCTTAGATTAAGAATAATTTAAGAGCACTATTGAAATAATATTTGAATTGAATAAAATGTGTTGATATGAACTGAACAATACCAAAACTGTGAATGTCTGAACGAACATTGTGTGCATGATATCAAAAGATTTGATTATGAATTTAGATTCAATTTATATGGATTTTCGACGCATTAGATATGCTTACTCAGTTTTACCGCTGAGCGTGTAGTGTGTTTTATTTGCTACACGCAGGTAAACAGAAAGATTAATGGGATCCTGGCGACAGATGGGGCGATATTGTCGGGATGGATGTGACAAGTTTGAAATGATTTATGATTTGTCAAAATTAAATTCGCTTCCGCAATATGGTTGAATACTCCGTACTGTATATGTTATAAAAAATATTATTGTGATAAATAAAAATGTTTGAGAAGTTTTAAATTTTTACGATTACCAAGTTAAATACTTAGTCCGAAAGGGGCTGCAGACCTGGACAGATTAGGGTGTTACATTATGTGCATAGTTCCACTACCCCCTATGATTTTGGAAATTGGCACAAACGCCCCTCTTTTCTTTATTGTTTTTCCTTTTCTCTACTATTTTTCCATAATTTTTTTTAATTTCTTTTTTAAAATTATTTTTTATGGTCTTTTAATAATAATTTTTTTCTTGTTTTTGCAATAAAAATCAATTAAGTAACAAGAATTAACATACACTTCATTTGCTTCAAATTAATTTGACAAATGAAATATATGTTAAATTTTTTATTTCATTTTTTATTTCAAACTTAAATTTTTTAATAACTTTATTAACAAAGTACGTTTGAAAAAATATTTTTTCATTATTTCACACACAAACATTTTTCTTTTCTTTATAAAAAAAAGAAAAAAGAAAAATAATAAAGAAAAAGGAGAGGGAGCGTTGGCGCCCCTTTCCAAAATCATAGAGACAACGGAGTTATTCACCTAATATATGAAAGGAAATGTTTGTTTAGAAAGGTATTGGTGTAGCTACATGAGAAGAATAAGGAACAAGAACGTATAAATTTTAAAACAATGGGGAGGAAGAGTGCAATTTTACCAAATCAGCGGGGTGTTGATGCAATGAACCTCAAAAAGTTGCCTAATTCTAATCTATACTATTCTTAAAAGCAGGGGAAATTTTTCCCGCCCAAACGCACCTACGTTGTGAATCGTCTATTAGCGTCAGAATCTTGATCCACGGCCATTATTCATCTTTGGAACGTTTCCATGTATAATCGTGCTTAATAACTAATACGGAGTAATGTTTACATGTATAATGATTAATAATAATTGTGCATATGACGTATTATATTAGCAAATATTTAATAATATATCAAGTTTCCGTGTTTAATAATATTGAAATAGAAAGCTCACGTGTTTAATAATTTATAATTATTAAACAGTTGAATATTTTTATATAAATATATTATTTTTGTTAGGCATGTATTACGTTGAAATAGCAATAAAAATACTAAGCTAAAAAAGGTAAGAATGGAAATAGTTTTGAAATAACGTTTATTTTTAGGAAACTTTTTTACACTATTGCCCAATATATCTTTTATATAATGTCAATTTAATTATGGAAAGGTTTTAATAGCTTTTAAAAATTTTACGCTTAGCTTTCAATCTTATGGTAATATATTACCTTTATAGAGATAATTAATTTCACTTCCGGCACATTTTTACCTTTTAAAGAGGAAATAAATTTTTATTACTTTTTATGAAAATTTTGGTTATAAACTAAAATATACATTATTAAAATAAATATAAATAAT